TATATATATATATATATATTAAGCCCCTGTATTAAACGTCATTCCACAAATGGCCTGCTCCGCCGAATCCGAAGGTTTCTGTTCCTGGACCCACGGCCATGCAGCCTTGAACCTGATATAAGGGCCATATTTTTTAGAATAGGGTTTTGGGGTNNTCCTTTGTAGTATAATTATAATAAGGAGCCCCCCCCAAAATAGTATTGGTAATCATCAATCAAGGCCCCTAAATTAAAACACCACCGACCCTGCAGAGTTCATCACTTTCCCACCCTTCCTCAATGCTGGAGCTCACGCAGTGCAGACTGCGCACGAAAACTGCAGGTTCGTTGGGTCCATGCGATGTTTGGCACCGTACATCGAAACTTTTTCAACCGAAACCTCCCAAACATCTCATACCCTATATTCACGAATCCTTGCTTTTACCTACAGTCTCCAGTGTAGTTCCTTTTTCGGGATACCTTATAAAATCCTTGATATATTGATATATATATATATATATATTAATTATTTGGTTAAAACAAAAAAGCAACTACAATGGAGAGTATAGGTAGTTCCAAATCCAAACTTTGTGGTGGGCCTGGCGGTCCGCGACGCAGCCTCAATGTATGGGAGCCGCGTTCTGGACATGACCTCCTCCTCCTCGTCTTCGTCTTCTTCCTCCGAACACTTCAAGGATCAGGGTAGGTTCTAAACAGGGTTATAAGTCCCCTGACTGAGGTTGCTGCATTTATAACCCTAAGGGTCCATAAATACATTGACCCTAAAGTACCGAAATAGGAACTACATTAAGGCCAATGTATATACTATATGAGTACATGGACCCTTAGGGTAACCAAAACCTACTGGCAACCTACTTCCTCCTCCGAAGGACAAGACTCTTGTCAGATTCAATGCGGATCTAACGTGAAGGCACAATGTAGTAAACACCCTTATCGTACCCTTATCGGGCCGTTGTAGAGCCCTTACCTTATCGAACCTTCCGAAAACCCTGATAGAGCCGATAACAAGAAAGAGCCCTATCCCAAAGGGTCCAAGTATTAATATGGTAGCTACTTTGTAGGTATTTGGGCCCCGAAAGTATATACTATACTATAACTTGGACCCTTTGGGAAACCCTAAACCGCAAACCCTAAAACCCAAAACCCCAAAACCCCTAAACCCTAAACCCCTAAGCCCCTAAACCGTAAACCTAACACCCGAAGCCCTAATCCCACCTCGGCCATGGTAGTTGGTAACCTTGCCGGCATCGGCAAAGGCTGCAGACGTCTGATGCCCAAAGCCTCCCAGCAACAAAACGGAAGCTCCGCTTGAAGGGCTTAGGGTTGAGGGGTTGGGGCGCTTGGGGATTAGGGGTTGAGGGGTTAAGGGCTTAGGGTTTAGGGCTCTGGGGGTTTAGGGTTTAGGGTTTAGGGGTTTAGGGGTTTAGGCTTTAGGGGGGCTTGGGTAAAGCTTTTTGTAAGGGAACCCTAAAGCCTAAACCATGTAGGGTAGAGGGTTTTTGGGTTTGGGATATACGCTTAGCGCTTTTGCGGTGTGCAGGGTTCGGACTCCGTTTCGGGATCTTTGGGAGAGCAAGCAGTATATACATTGGCCCCAAAGTACCTATATAGGGATTACTTCAA